TGGATTCCTGCTGCCTCCATCCCCACGAATGACGGCTGGAAAAGTACTTCAGGGCAACGGAATCTCTCTGCTCCTATGGTTATGACTTGTCCGTCTGGTAATTCGTAGTTCTTCTCGATGGTTGAACTCGATTTCGCGGTCTCGAGCTCTTGCTCGTAGTCGACAGCGACGTACGAAAGCTTTTCCTTGATGTCACGGACGATTTCCCGTTCGGCTGTGGTTGTGAACATGTAACCCCTCTCCGTGAGGATCTTCATTAAGTAATCAGTGAGGTCACGACCTGCAAGGTCGAGACGGAGAATGGCGTGTGGCAGAGAGAATCCCTCGTAGATGGGAACAGTGTGAGAAACACCATCTCCAGAATCCAACACAATACCTGTCCAAGGAGAAATCAATCAGAATTCACTATGGAGAGAAAAACGAGATTCCGGTTCTGAGATGCGCATACTAACCGGTTGTCCGGCCACTGGCATAGAGGGAGAGAACAGCCTGAATGGCAACATACATGGCGGGAGAGTTGAAGGTCTCGAACATGATCTGAGTCATCTTCTCTCTGTTGGCCTTTGGGTTAAGAGGAGCTTCGGTCAGGAGAACCGGGTGTTCTTCAGGAGCAATGCGGAGCTCGTTGTAGAAAGTGTGATGCCAGATCTTTTCCATGTCATCCCAGTTGCTCACAACCCCGTGCTCGATGGGATATTTCAAGGTAAGGATACCTCTTTTGGATTGTGCCTCGTCCCCGACATATGCGTCCTTCTGGTTCATCCCAACCATGACCCCTGTGTGTCTGGGCCGGCCAACAACGCTGGGGAAAACTGCTCTCGGAGCATCATCACCGGCAAAGCCAGCCTGTGCATAGGACACGCGATTGGTATACCGTCAAAACACTTTCCTTTCTCAACTAAGAACATCCAAAAAACCAGAAACCTTAAAGAAAGGAAGAGACTAACCTTAACCATTCCAGTTCCATTGTCACAGACGATGGGCTGAATGTCAGCTTCCTCGGCCATGGTTTACTAGCTGCATTCAGGACACAAAGAGATGAATCTCACCAGATCAATCCTTATTTGGCTGTTATGGGTACCTGAATCGTTCACAATCGAGATCGATACACAAGCTTAATCGTTCAGAAGTTACAACCTCTGATTCTGCATCAGAGATCCTTTTTTTCTATTCAACATTAAACCTCCATTTTGAACCTTTGTTATATTCAGGAGAAAGTATGATCTGTTGTAAAAATAATAAGAACTAAAAATGCTAAAAGGAGATATAAAGAAGGAAAAGAGATATATGAAGAAGAGAGAGTATTTGATTTGTATTATGCTTTCTTTCTTGTTTTGGTATATTTTGAAAAATAGTTTACACATGTCTATTTATAGGCTTACAAAAATGTGAAACAATATTTTATGAATTAAATAACAAAAATGTTACAAGAACATTCATTATTTTGTAAGTTTCTTAACACATGATCTTCTTTTTACCCGGATAAAAAAGAACAAGGATTCGAACAATCCTCTGTCAACATCTATCCACAGATTCTATAATCAAACATTCATCCAAACTGTAAGTTCCGCTTTCTCTGGTGAATTCTTAACCATGTCCAGATAATTTACAGAACAAAGATCATAATTATCAAGAAAACTCGTCATCTAAACATGGACCCATCGAGGGCAGAGACCACGAGACAAGCTAACGATGAAGAAAAGCAAATTAAGATCAAGTCAAGCCACGGTAATTTTGTCAAGCACAAGATGATCACCAGCTTTCGAATTCAATTCTGTGCGATACTCTTGCGTTGCGTAGTAAGATCAAAACATTTCTCAGAGTTGACCGATAAAAAAAACTCGAGCAAACTCGACTCCACACAGCTTTCGAGTGATAGTATCGATCAAAGCATCATACCATCAGGAAAATAATCAACAAAAATAAAATAGATCGAAGATCTGTTACCTTTGATTTGGATAAGAAAGATCGGAGGCAGGAAAGGATGAAGATCGAGCGAGAAATAGGAACTGAGACGATCGATAAAGAAGAAGGTCACGTCTTCTCTCTCTCTCTCTCCTCACTTTCTCTCCCTATCCTCTCGCCGGAGAAACAACGGCCGGTGAAGCTCAGACAACGGGAGTTTTCAAAGGAGCGAAATACGGGGTTATATAGGCGGGCTATATGAACATTGAACAGTTTCTTTATTGTATTTAAAATTAATAAATAAATTTAAAATTTTAAAAATTAAAATGAATCATTTCGACCATGAGAAAAGATAACGTGACCTGGTTGTCAGATAGCCTTTTCCCTCGTGATAACTGTTTCTGTCTTGCAGTTTTTCAAATGAAAAATATAATAAAAAACATATTTTATAAAACTGAAAAAATATAAGCCGTTGATTAAGGAGTTCATCCTAGCTGACGGCTGTGATCGATTTGGCTTCAGATGACGATGATCGTGTTTGGCTTGTTGGTTTTGGAATAATCAAGAATAATTCAACATAATAATTTTAATAGATTTTCTTAGATGGAAAGCGAAATAATTTATTATTTTATATAAGCTTATTTTAATGTTAGATCGTGAAAGAATGACATTAACCATCATTCATAAGTTGCACTTTGGTAATTATATTAATATAAATAATAGCCAATGGATTTATCACATTCAATGATATTTTTGTCCCCAAATGATAATTAGTTAAGTTTTCTAAAAAAAATAAGGAAGGTTCTCGAATAAAACAATTTGAAATTTAATATTAAATTAACAAATTATTAAACAATAAATCAACTATGAGATAAATATATTAGTTAATTATTTTTATAAAGAAACATACCTGTCTCGTTCGATGACCCAACCACCCCAAGGGCCACAACGTGCTTATTCAAAAGGCACATTAAGTTCGATACATATTTGATAGAGATTAACTAAATGAAAACTAATAAATACAAGAGGTAAAAAAAATTTGAATATTATTGATATATTATTCAATTCCATTTCATATATCAAAATCGAAATTTCTGATTCTAATCAAAATTATGCAGATTTTATATGCAACATAGCTTAACAACATCCAAAATTAGGTGGATATGGAGTAAAGTTCCTTATCAATCCAAATTTGAATTTGTAGAAACATTTATCTGGACTTTTCTAATTTTTTAGAAGATTTAATTGGAAACAAAAAATTTATACGATCGATTTTAAATAAATTTAGAATTAAAATAATGTTAATATTGATATAATTTGATCAAGGTAAATTTTGGGATTATATATATAAAAAAAAGTATTAATAACACTGTACACCATTGCAAAAGGGATGTACCCAAAAGTCAACTTTTTCCTCCCTCACGTGAACAGCCCCAACAGATCCATTTTATATATCAAACTATAAATGAAACCAAATAATTTTTTTTATAAAATATCTAAAAAATTATATTTTTATTAAACTATGTGTTTTTAAATTAATTCAGAAAATAATAAGTGTCTTAAACATAAAAAAAAATTAAATTTCACCTTGTTTTATGGATAATTATATTTTTTTAGAAAATTGAGGGAAATGAATAAAAGGAAGGTTTTGAGTTGGCACCTTAAAACACAAAGTTGAGAGTAGGGGTGGGCACGGGTCGGATACCCGGGAAAATCGAGAGATTTGGATTCGGATCCGAGAGACTCGGGTATTTAACTATAAGATTTGTATCCGGGATTTGGTATTTACGAGTATCCGGGGTACGGGTATCCGAAATAATAGTCGGGTACTCGCGGATATCCGGATCCGGATTTATTTAAGAAAAACAACAATATTCATATATAAAATTTTTAAAACATGAAGATATATTTATAAAAATTGATGAATTATGATAAAATATATAAAACAAAAGAGATAATAAGAGACAAATAATAATAAATTTAATTTTTTTGAATTAATATTAAAAAAATATGAAATTATTTCATCTAAAATAATTGTATTTTATAAAAATGTTATATAAATATAAGATATAATTATTTATAATTATAATACGCGGGTACCCGCGGGTATCCGGTTTTAAAAATTCTATTATCCGGATTTGGATCCGGATTCACGGGTATTAAAAAATCAGGATTTGGATTCGGATTTGAAAATTACGAGTACCCTAAAATCGGGTATCCGTGAGACGAGTATCCGACGGATACCCGATTTTCGGGTATTTGTGCCCAGCCCTAGTTGAGAGCATCATGACAAAGATTTTAAATCCCATTGTTGATTCGTATGATTACATTGAATAATATTATATAATTATTCTGACAAGCCACGTTGATATGAATGTTTGGAAAAGTCAATTAAGTTTTTGTTAAAAAAAAATTCTTGATTTGATTTTCGTACATCTCGTTGCTTGTTCCTAGGGGTCTTGGTAGTGGCACACCACATTCAATCAACCCATATAAAGATTTTTCGCTTTTGAATATAAGATTCGATTGCATTTGTATATTATATTTCAATTACATAAAAGCAAAAAGGGTTGTAAAATACATATTGAATTTTTATACAGCTGGAATGTAATTTTTTTTTTTGTGAAACTTAAATGGTACTGACCAATGGTTTTTTTTTTTTGCAAAATGTACCAAAAAAAAACGAATTTGCAAAAAACTATACTTTTTTCCCCTTCAAATTCAAATATGCCCTTGAACAGTTTTGATCTGCAATTATCGGTAAAATCGAAAAACACCACCACCGAATTTCAATTCCATTTCATCACTCCCTATTTGAAAAGTCAACTCTAAGACCTACCGTAAAAAATAAAACTTTTTCTCGCTAACGTAATTACTCAAGAATTTTTAATAGTAGTTTTGTTTTTCATTTATTTATAAAGAAAAAGATTTGGGTCATCGACTCCCACAAAATAGGACGCAAAAAAGTGAAAAAAATTGATCCTATAAATTAGAAAAACGCATAATCCTTATTTATTTGCCACTATGAAACCAAGTCTTTCATCTGTCGTTGAATTCCTTCTCTCGTCCACGTCACCATTTATTAGAAATGTCAAATGGGCTGCAAAGCCCACGAGCGAGCCCTAAACCAATTCATTTATCACCGAGCTAGGTCAGATATTTTAGAGCCCATTAACAAAGGTGTTTCGAACCAATCAAACTCAAATCGAGTTGGGTTAGATGAGTTAAATCAATTATTATTGTATTTATATTATATTTTTTATTTATAATTATCTTATATGTTAAATAGATTTTAATTCATTAAGTCTATAGGTTTTATGGATTAACCCAAATAACCTAAACAACCCATTAACATTTTATTTTTTATTCATTCATTAGTTTTTGATTGAATAAAATACTAAAGATTTACTTATAAATAGAATTAATATATATTTATATTTTAAAACCAATATTGAATCTTCGAGCCAAATATCATATGTTTACATTCGATGCAAAACCGAACATAAAAATTTTATTTAAAAATAAAAATCGAATTCAAACCAAATTTTGAAATAATCGAAAAACCGATTTTTTATATGAGAATTTTATAATAAAAATTGAGTTTGGATCGAAATGAATCAAACGGATCGATTTAATTCGAATCGAAACGAATTGATCTGAATCGAATCGGATCAAAACGAAACAAACGGATCGATTCGATTCGATCCGATCCAAATCGAAACGAATTGATCCGAATCGAATTCGGATCGAAACGAAACAAATGGATCGATTCGATCTGAATCAAAACGAATTGATCTGAATCTAATTTGGATCAAAACGAAACAAACAGATCAATTTGAACCGAGTTGAAACGAATTGATCCGGATCAAATTCGGATCGAAACGAAATAAATGAACCGATTCAATCCGAATTGATACGAATCGAAACGAATCAAATAGATCGATTCGATCTGAATCGAAACGAATTGATTTGAATCGATTCGAATCAAGACGGAACGATTCGACCAAATTGATTTGAATTGAATTTAAATCTATGCAAATCGAAATGAATTAAATTTGAATCTTTTTATTTATTTATACTATTTATTTTATATTTTGTGGATATTGATATTATGTAATCTAATTGAATCTTTTTATATATATTTTTGGATAATTTTCAACATAATTAAAAAATTATAATTTTAGGATATTAAATTATGTATATGAAATTATTTTTTTAATATTTTAAAATTAAAAAAAATATAACTTCTTAAAATAAAAATTAAGATGATAATTTAACTAATCACTTTTAGGATATGTTTGGAATATTAAAGTGATTAAATAGGTTTATTGGGTTGAACCAATCCATTTTATTATTATATTGGCCTAATTCAAACTGAAAAATTATTAAACTTAAATGGGTTATAACCAAGTGGGTTGGATAACCCAAGTTGACATTAGTAATCGTGAACCAGTGATAACGATCTCCGAGACTTCTAATTTCTTCTAATTTCATTTATTCAGATAGTTTTTCTAATTTCTAACATAACTCTAATTTCTTCCCTCTTTCTTTCAAACAGTTCACAAGTCGTCGACTTCTGAGTTCTCTCCTCTCTTCGGCACGATCGTCGTCTGACATCATCATCATCACTGTCGCCATAAACCTTGCCTAGAGTAATGATGGCTATCACCGACCCGAATTAGTAGTAATCGAAGCTAGCTATTTACGATTCTTCTTCTTCATCTTTTGTTTCAATCTTCTCGCAATGTTGGATTTCTCAGACTTTTGCTCAGAGTTTCTACAAGTCGACTACATGCTCTGTTTGTTTCTTATTTGGTTCTTTGTCTAAAGTTTTATCTAAAACTTCTCTACTCTTCATTCCTTAGATTCATATTTGTTTCTTATGTTTGGCATATAAGCATCCTTTTGCATTGATGTTTGAATAAGCATGAATATTGTACAATAACATATTTACTTTTCAATATTATACAAGATTTAATTGTTTGAAGTGGTAAAAGTACTCTGTGTCTTCTGATCCTTTTACAATGCTATATTCGTATCTAATTTTGATATGATATTTGAGTATTATATAATCTCAATTATGTTCTCTGTTGTTGGGATTCCTGAGATCTCGCTAGCAATTCATAATTCTAGAGATCCGGTTCTAGGGTTCATGCAGCGGAAGCTGAAAAACAAAAATTTTTCTAAACAAAACCCTAAAACCGAACATGCATGATTGTAGATC